CAAAAATGACAAAAATATTCACCAAAATTAGAGAATTGAAGATATCATTACAAAAGGAACAAATCTGAGAGAGGTCCACATGTAGTACCTATATACGTAATATCAAAGCAATTGCACTTGCGGTTTTTAACAAGAAGTCGAAAATATCACTTTTTACCAAAAATGACAAAAATATTCACCAAAATTAGAGAATTGAAGATATCATTACAAAAGGAACAAATCTGAGAGAGGTCCACATGTAGTACCTATATACGTAATATCAAAGCAATTGCACTTGCGGTTTTTAACAAGAAGTCAAAAATATCACTTTTTACCAAAAATGACAAAAATATTCACCAAAATTAGAGAATTGAAGATATCAACATGAAATGAACAAACCTAAGAGAGGTCTACCCAAGGTACATATACACCAAGTATCAAAGCATTCAGGCTTGTAGTTTTCAAGAAGAAGTCGAAAAAGAAAAACATTGACACGGACGACGACGGACAATCACTCATATGATAAGCTCCGCTCCACAAAGTCGACAGCGGAGCTAAAAAGTGAGTTGTGTAATATGAAAAGTGAGTTGTGTATTATGACAAGTGAGTTGTGTAATATGAAAAGTGAGTTGTGTAATATGAAAAGTGAGTTGTGTAATATGAAAACTGAGTTGTGTAATATGAAAAGTGAGTTGTGTTATATAAAAAGTGAGTTGTGTAATATGAAAATTGAGTTGTGTATTATGAAAATTGAGTTGTGTATTATGAAAAGTGAGTTGTGTAATATGAAAAGTGAGTTGTGTAATATGAAAAGTGAGTTGTGTTATATGAAAAGTGAGTTGTGTATTATGAAAAGTGAGTTGTGTTATATGAAAAGTGAGTTGTGTAATATGAAAATTGAGTTGTGTATTATGAAAATTGAGTTGTGTATTATGAAAAGTGAGTTGTGTATTATGAAAAGTGAGTTGTGTAATATGAAAACTGAGTTGTGTAATATGAAAAGTGAGTTGTGTTATATGAAAAGTGAGTTGTGTATTATGAAAAGTGAGTTGTGTACCGGTATTATGAAAAGTGAGTTGTGTAATATGAAAAGTGAGTTGTGTATTATGAAAAGTGAGTTGTGTAATATGAAAAGTGAGTTGTGTATTATGAAAAGTGAGTTGTGTATTATGAAAAGTGAGTTGTGTATTATGAAAAGTGAGTTGTGTATTATAAAAAGTGAGTTGTGTATTATAAAAAGTGAGTTGTGTATTATGAAAATTGAATTGTAAATATATTAACCCTTTGAGTGCCAGATTATTTTCCCGTCAAAAATTTACTGCAAATATTTTCACATTTTGTACAACTGCCACAAAATTTTATCATCACTTTGGACTATACAGACAAGTTCACATTAATTTTTTGATCAAAAATGTTGTCAATTTCATGTGGGGAAAAGCAGACTATACAAAATCATTATTATTTTATGTAGATGGTGCCAAAAGTTGATAATGGCATTGAAATTGTTTAAATTTAAGCATTTCATTTGCAAATCACTCTTGAAACAAGCTGGAAACACAATCTTCCACTCCCTCAAATTTCAAATGCCCCACTATACCATATATCATATATGCATGTATGGATACCATATATGTAAGTGTTGATTCCATATATGGAAGTGATGATACCATATATGGAGGTAATAATACCATATATAGAATTACAAATTACAGACTGACCTGTTTACTTCTATTGCCTTTAGCTAACATCACCATAGAGCCTCCCTCTGACTGAAACTGATCGACATAGGAATCCATTCTTCCTGCCGTGGTTGGTCCAAATGAACCTGACGCATAGCCCTAACAAAAATAAGTTTATACAAATTAGCTAATTCTCATGCATATGCAGTTACTAATCAAGAGTTTTATTTAACTGTTTCTTTTAATTAAACCGAGACACACCTCAGAGAGATACAGTTACAAGGCTTGTGTTGATTTACTAAAAATAAAACTGATATAACCATAGTCATGCTATAGATTACCGGTACATGAAATAAATGTAGACTGAATTAAGACAATATCAACAGATGCTACACCTCTTTTTAATCAAACTGCACTACAATGCTTTGGTTTTAAAGTGATTTGTTGTGAATCATAATGAAGTTAATGTCCTAAAGATAGATAATATGTATTTGTCAGTTGCATTGTTTTGTACTTTGTTTTGTGGATTATTTTTTCAATTGTCGGTCATTTTTTTTGTGTATAATCAAGTGATATCATGAATAATCATGAGGTGATTATGATGCAATTCAAATTTAATGATTGTGTGAAACATCCATAAGGTGATTACAAGATAATCGAAATCAAATCATCTCATGAATATTCATCAAATGATTATAACATGATCAAAGTAAAATCTCATGAAAATGTTCAAGATAATCTCATGAATATTAATGAGGTGATTATAATGAATTCTTTACAATCCAACAGAGAATAGCTTACTTCTGGTGTTTTAGCTGGACCTGCATAGTACACGGGATGGTCTTTGATGTACTGTGGCAGTCCTTGGCCACTTTCTATTCTCTCTAATAACTTAGCATGTGCAATATCTCTAGCTACTACCAATGTCCCAGTCAAGCTAAGTCGGGTCTTTATTGGGTACTTTGTCAACAAACTACGGACTTCATTCATTGGTTTGTTTATGTCAACCTGCAATAAACACAATATTCTATTGTATTTCATACTATAATGTGAATAAAACCACCCAAAAAAGTTATTGGTCAGTATACACAATTAGTTCACCAATTTTATTCTGGTTTCTGCCAAAATATTGTGAAAATGCAAGAAAAATGGTTAAAAACTCACCGCATCACATTTGTATGGAACAAGGAACATTTTTTATAGCCTAATGATAATGCTATTTTCTGAGATATTTTTATGACTTTCAGGACGCACACTTTTGTAGCATTTGACCATTGAGATCAGGAATTTTGAGATCAGGAGTTGTGAGACCCTTGAATTATTAAATGATGAATATTTCAGCTACAAGATTGAATAGTTTATATTTGATTTCCATTTATAATAATAATTTCTTACTTTGATAACCTCACCACCAAGATCACTTTCCGTCACCTCTGGCAAATACTGGCCGGGATTAGTCTCAAGCTTTTCCAAGAATACGCCTTCTTCTGTAATCTTGGCTACTGCCTGGAAAAATAAAACAGCCTATTAGGTCAAAAGGCCTTGACCATACCTCTCAACCCCTTCCCCCCACAGTTACCAAACTGCAAAGGTGATTGCATATAAACATCTTGATTTTGAAGAATTGTAATTCGGACAATTTCTAGAATTATTATAACTTTTATTAAATTAAACTTTTGAAGATGTAGCTTTTGCATGAAGTGTACGGTGATGATGTTCTAACTTGTCAGGCAAGAGTCTCCATGCCTGGGCATTCTGGGCAACTAAGATAATGACATCCAGACTGGTCTGAATTAGTTCAAACTGGTTTTAACCAAATTGTCTTTCAGCAAAATAAGATACAATGTACACCAATTCCTATACGGCATGATACTCCATGCCTGGACATTCTGGTAACTATAGAAATGACATCCAGACTGATCTGAACTAGTTTAAACTGGTTTTAACCAAATTGTCAATCAACAAAACAAAATACATGTACACCAATTCCTACAAGCCGTGATGTCTATGGCTGGAAATTCTGGTAACTATGGAGATGACATCAAGACTGTTTTAACTGGTTTCAACCTACCTGTCTATCAGCAGAACATGATACACCAATTCCCACAGGACATGACGCACCGTGCCTTGGCATTCTGATTACCCTAACATCATGGCAGAAATATTTTCCACCAAACTGAGCTCCGATTCCAGTACTCCTGCTTATTTTATGGATTGCTTCCTCCATCTCCACATCTCGGAATGCTCTTCCAAACTCATTGCCTACAAAATAAGATGCATATGAACACCATCACAGACAGATAAGGGTACACAGGACTATTTAAACATATCAAGGCCAAAATATGTGCGGGCGGCTTTTCATTTTTACATTGAAACTTTTAAAAAATTTGTGATTTTTCATTAAAACTAAATTTTCCTTTAATTTGTTCTAAACTTTGAGAATAATCCTAAAAAGAAGCGATGCTTTTTTTTCCCCTGGCTTAACAAAGAAGTCTATAGAAGAAATGGTTAGGGATTGTATGAGCTATACAGTAAGTTAGTTAATGTCAACACGACTTAAACCGATGCACACAACATACTAAACACAACTTATGCCGCAGGTTGGTTTTCCAATGTCTTTGTGTATTTGTAGAGTATTTTTGCCTGTCCAATAACCTAGTTCACTCATTTGTCTTTCTATTCCAAATTCCAAAATATGATATTGCAACACACAAAAAATACAAATGAACATTTTCATGTGATTTATGACCATCTTTCTCTAAATTATCTACCTGGGGAAAACAACTTTTTGTGAAAATGGTAATATCTTCATTTATCAAACATATAAAAACCACTTTACCTAAATAAACATTCAAACGACATAGACTTCACTTACCGGTCTTTGGTAGATTATCTAGATATCTTGCTGATGCCATTTTCACCGTTTTTAGATTGAGTTCAGCCGATAGTCCGCCAATTACGATGGCTAAATGGTAGGGTGGACACGCTGCCGTACCCAATGTCTGCAATAATCAATACATTGACATGATGAGAAGAAAATCTGACGATATCTAATATTATTACAGTTCAAAATCTAAAATAAGTTGTAGTCTGTTTTAAGAAAAAAAATAAGCCCTATAAGCACTATACACAATAATGTTGCGAAATTAAGCTTAGATTTTCATTTCCTGAGGTTCTTTTTAATGTACTTATTTAATTATTTCGATAACAGAATCACTCATGGCAGCATTCATAAATAAATTTTGAAATTTACAGTAGTTCATATATATATGACTTAGCTAAATGTAATTTAGATATTCAATATATATATTTCTCAGCAATATTTTCTTTCATATGAAACCTTAACAAAGTATCTGGTACATCTGTATATAGGAATGCATGTACCGGTAATTAATATTCAATATTCATATTATTAAAAGCAAACACATTTATGTAAAATGCCTGCTAAAGATACAATATGGATGAGAAAATGTAATTTTTAGTATTGTTCACACTACATATTGATAAATACGCTGGACTACGATTTATCATGAATTGGAAACGTTGTTCTTGTAGCTGACATCCGAATATTCATTTGTCGAAACAATGGAATTCTCTAATACATGTACATATGTACAAGTTATTTTGGTACATACAATAATCACTGCACATGTGTATCAGTGATTTTGATTTGTTATCTAATGAACACGGTTGTGCGGCCGACAAACGCAACAATTTTAGTTTATGATAAATCGTAATCCAATTTGATTGACAGTATGCAGTATTGAATAACAATATTGAAGAAATAACATTTTTACCTATATTGTAGATTTAATGGTATTAATTCACAAATCAGGTTTATTTTAGTGTACTTTAACAGAACAAATCAAATCTTTCAATCTCATTAATAGAGGGCATTTAAAGAAAAACTAACAAACTATCAATAATATTTTTACTTTTTAGATACTGGTACTTGCAAGTTGTGAGAATATTACAATTACTGATAATAAATGTATTATACATGTATTGTGTTGTTACAGTACTCGTAAAAGTTTAACCTTTTCAGCACCAGTTTTCTTTTTTCATCAAAAATTCACAAAATTGTCCCATTTATGGTCTGCACTTTCCTTCAGAAGATTGGGACAACAATAATTGAATTTTTTGAGTAGAAACTAAAAATTTACTCAAATTTTGTCTTTTGGCTCTAATATTAGGGTTTATTTCCAGAAATATTGAAGAATATCGGAAAAAAATGCAGAAAAATTTGGGAGAGAAAGTCTGGTGGTGAAAAGTTTAACACAGTAGAAGGTGAAGCTTACTAAGCAGCTTTACAGGACTACGGTATATTCAATACATGATCTACAGATTGTCACAGACATTCACACGAATCAATATAGAATTCTATATTCAATACATGATCGACAGATTGTCACAGACATTCACACGAATCAATATAGAATTCTATATTCAATACATGATCTACAGATTGTCACAGACATTCACACGAATCAATATAGAATTCTAAATTTAATATCATGCCTCTATTTATATTTACCTTAATTTTCTCATTTACAAACTGTTTTAATTTATCTGGTGTTAGTAATGCCTTCGTCTGTTGAAACAGAAATGTTTTGTTGGCTGATCCACCACCCTTAGCCATGAATAGAAAGTCGTACTGACTGCTGTTGGTAGCATACAAGTCAATCTGTGCTGGTAAATTGGTTCCTGTGTTGACTTCTTTGAACATATCCAATGGCGCCACCTGTCACAGATAACAAGTTTACGTTACTCATAAGAAGCATATAAAATCATTTTAATACACTAATATGTACATACCAGGTCTGAGACTCTGTAATATCAACATTATTCAGGGCTTAAAAGTTGATTAACACAGGTTCACAAATTTTACTGGGTGTGAAGTGAACGCACAGGAGTGTTCATACGAAAACATGCTCTACGGTCCATGTATTAGCATCAGGCAAGATACTCAAACTGCCCTATTATTACAAATAGGTCCATGTAACCCTTTTTTTTTTTTTATTGTTTTTATAAATATAGTTTGTGGCATATTGTTTCAATATTTCAAGGTACAAATTAACAAGCAGTCTCTCGGCTGAGATAGCTCCGCTGTTAGCAATGCACATTTCAATTAAAGAACAGAAGATATCATTAGAAAATGAACAATATGCATAGTATCAATGCAATGGGACTTGCTGTTTTCAACAAGAATCCAAAAATATCATTTTTCACCATAAATGATTGTGGTTTTTAACAAGAAGTCGAAAATATCACTTTTTACTAAAAATGACAAAAATATTCACCAAAATTAGAGAATTAAAGATATCATTAAAAAATGAACAAATCTGAGAGAGGTCTACATGTAGTACCTATATATGTAATATCAAAGCAACTGGACTTGCGTTTTTTAACAAGAAGTCAAAAATATCACTTTTTACCAAAAATGACAAAAATATTCATTAAAATTAGAGAATTGAAGATATCATTACAAAATGAACAAATCTGAGAGAGGTCTACCCAAGGTACATATACACCAAGTATCAAAGCATTCAGGCTCGTAGTTTTCAAGAAGAAGTCTAAAAAGTAAAACATTGACACAGACGACGGACGACAGACGACGGACAATCACTCATATGATAAGCTCCGCTTGACAAAGTCGACAGCGGAGCTAAAAAAAATTAATTATTAATAATTTTCTAATTGAACATCTCATGTTTTACCTTTTTCAACATAGAGTATTAACTCCATAAGCCACATAAAGTAACATCAAATTTATCGCAAAAATGTTGTCTGTCATCCTAATTTTATTTTCACATACGACTTTGTTAAGCAATAAGCAATCTGTTCACAAAGTATCAGCACATTCCAAAAATTTTTATAAAAAAAAAACTATTTATGAAAGCACCCAAATTCCTGGGCTGTTAATGCTTAAAAAAGACAAAGATTAAATAAATTTGTAAAAGAAATATAAAACAGTTTTGAAGGTTCAAGCAAAAGATGCAAAGACCGAGTTTAAGTTTGTAGAACATCACACTATGATGACAATAATTTTTGAACTGCTTTTCTATCACCACATAGTAGTAAATACAGGTGATAAGCCTACTGTCAAAATTTACTACAAACTAAATCTTTTTTCTGACCATGAAGTGATAGTTAGTATAGACGTACCTGTGAATATCTAAGATTTGTTTTAGTATAAGTATCATAGACACCACGGGATAAGTGCTCTTCATCTTTTCCATCAGTCCAGACATTCTGACCACGCTTGCCTGCATAAAAAACGATAATATTACTGTAAACCTATTCAAACAGATGAGGTTTGTACTGCCATTTCGATAATCGCAGAAATTGTATCCCATATTTGGTTTGCAGGACATATTCTTTTTTTAAATGTTTTTGTGACAGGAGAGAGTTTCGGACATTGGAATTGTCCTATACATTAGGTCTGGATCAGACTAACCCAGGGTAAGCGTCAATTCTTTTGGTGTTCAACCTATGTTAGGATTTAAACTCAGACATACCGATTACCAGTCTAATACAACAACCACTACGCTACCAGTGACCTGTTGTAGCACAAGTACTTGAGGTCTGTGGTAATAATGTGTACTAATTGAATGATCTAATATATAATAAATGCAATTGTTCGTTTACTTGCGTTCCTATTGGAGCAAATAGAGCATATAATTGCCCAGACTAAGGGACGACGTCAAAAGATCGATGTCGGATAAAAAACTTAATTCCTTTAGTTTTTTTCCGAACCCCCCTACCCCCCACTGAAACTTAATTGATAAATATTGGTCATGGCGTCAGACTACATTCACTATTAAATACAAATTGTTAATCGGACATCGATCTTTTGACGTCGTTCCTTACAAAGTCTGTTTTAAATCATTGCATAGACGTTGGTTGTCAGGTGGGTGTAAAAAGATTTTACAAATGCACCTCATTTGACGCACAGATTTACACTCGAACTAAACCATTTTTCTATTTTTTTCCCTTTTCGGTTATTTCTGTCCATGATTGGATAGAAAAAAAACGAACTACAAATACTACAAGATTTTTTTGACTTCATTAAAAAATAAAATCGTTTTTGTAGGATGGAAATTTTTTGAGGTTAAAACCCCCCACCCCCAAACTAAAGGAAATAAGTTTTTTATCCGACATCGATCTTTTGACGTCGTCCCTTACAAAGTCTGTTTTAAATCAGTTTAGCCTTTTCTGGTTAATTTCATCAAGCACTGTCATCTCCCTAACGTTTCAAGCTCTGTATTGAAAGCACAGTCATCATTTTTCTATTCTAGTAAATGATTTCTCCTTCTTACGTTACACACAGGGTCACGTATCTGCAACTATTAAACTATATAGGCTTAGCACTGGCAATCCTGATAACAATTCTATATGAATATAAAAAAGCAGCCTCTCGACTGAGATAGCTCCGCTGTTAGCAATGCACATTTTAATTAAAGAACAGAAGATATCATTAGAAAATGAACAATATGCATAGTATCAATGCAATGGGACTTGCTGTTTTCAACAAGAATTCAAAAATATCATTTTTCACCATAAATGATTGTGGTTTTTAACAAGAAGAAAATATCACTTTTTACCAAAAATGACAAAAATATTCACCAAAATTAGAGAATTGACGATATCATTACAAAATGAACAAATTTGAGAGTGGTCCACATGTAGTACCTATATACGTAATATCAAAGCAATTGAACTTGTGGTTTTTAACAAGAAGTCGAAAATATCACTTTTTACCAAAAATTACAAAAATATTCACCAAAATTAGAGAATTAAAGATATCATTACAAAATGAACAAATCTGAGAAAGGTCCACATGTAGTACCTATATATGTAATATCAAAGCAATTGGACT